CACATTACAGATAAAATTTTACATGTTTACGTTTTAAATAGTCACAAATTTGTTGTGTGCAGGTGTACAGAGGTTTCAGAAAGTGTTCTCTTCATCTTTTCCTTTTTTTATTTTGCAGACAGATGTCACAATTATTTAAACATTTTTTTCTCTTTCATCTATTAACCATATTAAAAATAAACACTGAAATATCACAAGTCTTTTTAGTTCTTAGTTGAACCTTTGGCAGCTTTTACAGCCTCAGGCCTCCATCTCTGCACACCTGGGCTGAAGGAGTTTCTGACGTTTTTCTTGTCAAATCCTCTCCACCTCAGTCCAGTTGGATGGGGACCATTGGTGGACATGTCCCTCCAGAGATGTTGAATTGGGTCCAGGTCAGGGCTCTGGCTGGACCTCTGTAGGAGCTTCACAGAGTTGCCTCTCAGCTGCTGCTGTGTCTCTTCTCTGGGTTCTTTGAGTCGTGGTCCTGTAGTCCAGTCTGAGGTCTTCAGCTCAGAGGAACAGGTTTTTATTGAGAATATTCCTGTACTTTGCTCCATTTAGTTTTCCCACTCTGGCCAGTCCCCCAATACCTGCTGCTGAACAAACATCCCCAGTGCATGATGCTGCCACCACCATGCTTTACTACTGGGAGTGTGTTGGGAAGATGACGAGCAGCACCTGGTTTCTGTCAGACACAACGAACAAACAGTTCTGGCTTTGTGTCATCAGACTGGAGGATCTGAGAGTCCTTCAAGCACTGAGGAGAGACACTGCCACAAAGTCCAGATCCCAGGAGTCCTGCAGTCCTGTGCCCTTCAGGACCTTACAGCGTTTTCACATCAGGGCTGTTTTACCTGCTTTAAACACACCAGAGTTTCTTTCCTCAGGTAGTTGTCTTTGTTTGGGCAGGTGTGAAAGCTCAGACAAACTGTGGTGTAGACCAAACAAGCAAACTGGTCAGTATCCTAGAACAGAGCTGGGCGGTATGACCCAAATTTTATATCACGGTATTTTCAACAATTACACCAGTTTCACAGTATTTGACGGTATTTTTTCCTCGCAGCTCAGCTGATAATAAAATGTACAAACTTTGCTTATTGACTTTTTTCTGTTACTGTACCTCTGTCTGACTGTTTCCCTCCTCTGTACGACTGTTTCCCTCCTCTGTACGACTGTTTCCCTCCTCTGTATGACTGTTTCCCTCCTCTGTATGACTGTTTCCCTCCTCTGTACGACTGTTTCCCTCCTCTAAACGTCTTTTCTTCTCTGCCTGGTTGTAGACAGTAATCATACATTTAGGTCCGATC